TATATTTAATGCATTTATATTTAATGCAAGCAAATCACAATCAAAGCTTGGTGTTCTTCTTTTGGAACATTAAACAAAATATATATTTGGGACAATAGTTTAACCAATTCCAGCAAGCTAATCTCTGCTGATGGAAAAAAATTCATAAATATTAGAAACACAACTAACTCCTCTGATTTATAGTTTTTTTGTGTGTCTTTATTCATATTATTCAAGCAATTCAGACAGCAATTAGCATCCTCCTCTGCCTATCAAAACCTGTTGAAGCTTTTCCTGATCCCTCAGAAAGAATCAGCTGCATTTTCACAAAATACTGCACACACCCCTACTTAGCAAGAACACAATTTCCTCATTAAATGATATTTAACTGCTTACCTATACAGCCAGTTAAGAACTTGAATAGAGCTGTTCCAAAAGCAAGCTGTGAGGATTAAGGATTTGGGTTGGAAAATGGGGCAGACACAAAGAACAGATTAGGACTAGGGCACAAGTAATATAATGTATTTCAGGTCACTGTTCAATGAGGCGATACGTCATCATCTGAGTTGGTGAGCGACTGGTGTCCTTTGGGTGAACACAGTGTCTTGGTTTGGGGTGCATTATTGGAATTGGAATAGGATTCTCAGAGTAAGGGTGGAGCAAGAGGGAATAAGATGCTATCAGAAAAAAGCTAAAGAGAAAGTTCGGGCTTCTTTCAAGTGAGCATGCTCAAGAAACAGTTCCAACCTCAGAATGGAAACCAAAGTGAAACCGTAAGAAACCAAGAAGGAAAACACTGCAGAGGTTAGAACACAGGCTCCCTATGGTTGTCTGGCCTACTGAACAGAGAAGCAAGTGCAACCCCAAATCCCAAATGTGTGTTACAGACACACATAACCTTAGAAAATAAATAAATAAATGACCCGTGTTAGATAGTTGAAGTTGTTAGCAGCAGTTTTCTACATTGTTGTGGGATTGCAGAATAATTTATTTCACAGCTTTTCCATCTCTACCAAATTTTTCGTAGAAATGTGTCCTAATTTTATAATCAGAAAAAAAGTCTACAAAATAAGCGTGTGTGTGTGTGTGTGTGTGTGTGTGTGTGTGTGTGTGTATACATATGTGTGTATACTATTTCCTTCTCTTTTGACTAAACCAATAATTCTCAGTCAGGGACAATTTTGACCCCAGACAGCATTTGGCAATGTCTGGAGAAATATTTGGTTGTCACAATTGTGGGGAGTGCTACCGGCGTCTAGTGGGTAGAGGCCAGGAATGATGCTAAACATCCTACAACGTACACGACAATCTCCAACAATAAAGAATTATCCAGCCCAATGGGTCGAAGGTGCTAAGGTTGAGAAGCCCTGGATTAAACAAACAAAGGTTTTATAAAACTCTTATCTCTCCCTATAATTAATTCCATTGATATTACATACAGTTATTTCAGATGAATTTATTTTTAAAATAAAATTAAGAAATGAATTTCTAGCATGTTAATAAAGATATTTTGTATGAATTACCAATGGTTCAAAGTAAATAAACTGTGTTCATAATATTATAGTATATTTTCTAATTAAATGACATTATAAGTAATACCCTAAAAAAGAAAAATCAATTTTACATGTTCTCTTCTTAATTTATGTCCCTGCTTCTTTATTTTCAGAGAAGTATTGATGGCTTTTTTACAAGTGACAGTTTTTTTTTTTTCCATAAATCCCTATTTTTAAGGCAGTTCCATTAGAAATTATTATCTCTGTCTCAGAACTACCTAAGTGAAAATGACTTTCTGGACTGACAAATGTTGAAAAAAAATGTGTTTCTTGTTTACCTTTATGTTTATTTATTGGCATACAAAAGTTTTTACAGGTAACAACTTCTAAGTAAATATATATTGGATTGAATTGAACTGAATAGTGTATACCTCTTCTGGACACAGTTGATAAAGGTGTAAAAATGCATAATAAATTTTAGAATAAGTAATTAAAAGATACATTTTTGGACCCTCTAGAATCAAGAATTAGAGTTGATTTAATTTAATAAGATGTTAATGGGCATTTTGGGGGGCATCTATCACTTTGCAGATTTCTGCAAAATGTTAAAAGTAGCATAAAATGCGTTCCCTAGCCTTGAAGAATTTGTAATCTAACCAAGAGCTAGAACACATCCTAAGAAAACCATTTCATCCCAGAGCAAAACAGCACATGGTTGAGGGCCAAAATGAGTAATTAATGCAATAGGAGTTTAAGGAACAAAAAATATCTATATGTCTGGAATTGACAGAATTGGTTTCATGACAAAGATAAGAATTGTACTGATCAGTGAATTGCCCAGCAATGAGGGGAAGGCATCGTAAGACAGAGAAAATAAAATGAACAAAGCTAAGAAGGTAAGGGACTATGGGCACTTTCATGGGGCAGGGAACAATCCTGGCCGAGGTAGGTGATAAATTTGAACTACTAGGAAGTGGTCAGATTATGACAAGAGTCAAATGAGTGAATGTTCATAGGAAAACTCTGTAAAATACCTAAACCTATGAATGGGATAAAACATTCCATCTCCAGACAAAGTTTGGAAATTGTGTTTTCAGTCTCTATCACATTTAAAATGATTACTTAACCTAATATGGTTTAATATTATCTTCCTACACTGACTGACCTTTGTACTACATAAAGCAAAACTCTAGCCTACATAATGTACCTAATGTTCTACAAAAATGACCATTAGCAAAGGCAAGCCAAATTTAGCTATAGCCCCATGTAGCCTTTCCCCCTTGGTGACTACAAAGATAGTAAGAGTCCTCATTTCTGAACAGAGGTGATCTAATTAAGGAATTTTTTAATTGCCTTAACCATTATCCTAATATTACATTTCTGTCAAGGGAATAAGAGAGGTAGTACAGTATTCTGTCTGGCCAAGGAGTCTTCTAGAAGGTAGGGATGAACAATCAATGTTGTTTGTAAAGAATCATCAGACTTAATACAGCAATGTTGAACTCATGATAAAATGCAAGAAGAAATAGATCATTGCCTCAAGAAAAATCAAAAATTGGCATCTTCAGGGATTGGGCGGTTTGGGGGTAGGTAAACTCACAACTAATGGACGTAGTGAGCATTGTAGGGCAAAAGGGCACACCTCAAATTGTGCTTTGGGTGTGGCAAAGCCATAACATGTAATCAAAATGTTTGTACCCCATAATATCCTGAAATAAATTAAAAAATTAGCATCATGCACATTTAAATCTGTAAATACTACAGGCACATTAACTATGAAGCAATAATCCTTAGATTCTCCATAAAAGAGGTTTTGGTAACTGTTAACTCACCTACAAAATGTTGGTTAGGAATAAACTCAGCTACATAAAACACCTTTACTTATAGTGGCTTAGCCAAATGGAGATTTGTTGTTCTTGAAGAATTCCAAAGGAAAGCTGACAAGGAGTCTTTTTGGTGGCTCCATGACACCATTTAGGACAAACTGCCTTCTGGTTTTCTACTAAATATCCTTAGATAACTTTCAGTTACATTGCATTGTCCAGAACTATGTCACATGAACCACCTTCCAGCTGAAAAGTAAGCTGGGAAATAAAGTTTTTAATTATGTACATTGCAGACTCACATAAAACTAAGGGAGATGGGGAAGAATTATGTAGGTCAATTGGCAAAAATCTATCAGCAGCACAAATTCAGAGTGATTGTAGAAAGACTCCAGCTCTTGTAATATCTTCGTTAAAGCACTACTAAGTAAATTGAGTCTGTTAACAACTTAAGTCCAATATCTAAGTGCCATACAGAAGTCCATTTTCCAGGTTTTCGTGAACTGGGTCATTTTGCGCCTTTAAGCTACATCGTTGTCTAATGGATTTCTTGGAGAGCAGCCCAAGCGCAGTGTGTATTCATCCACAGGACAGGTTCCTGTGTAGTGTCGCCATGCCCACAAAGACAAGAGTGATCTATGAAGATTTCTACTCACTCAGAAAGTGACCAATTGACATGTTGTAGATGGTAATTGAGAGGTTCAATTCAGGAAAAGTGAATTTTAAAAAAGGAAATTGAAGATATAATACTTTTGCTTTCCCAGCTGTTTTCTTCTTTTGCTAATGAGAAAGTGGTAGTATCTTAAGTGCTAACAAACTCCTGAAAGGAATAGCTCAGTAGCTAACAGAGTCTGGTACGTTGTGTGGGTATTCAAGTAATGTCTGTTGAATAAAACTTTGCCTACTTATTTTTATCAAAAGGTACACAAAAACTGGTTAAAATGAGGCATTCTTCATCCTCTTTAATGAATCAGTCAAAAGCATTTAGTCAGCATCCACTTCTTGTGAATGAAAGCTCTGTGAGGAGTCCCAAGGAAATGCTTGCTAGGATCTCTCACCCTGAAAGGTCTTGCCCTGTCTTTTATGTGGCCTGGCAGATTTTTCTGACTCCCATCCAAACTTATAATTAATCAAGTCTATGGAGATTGGTTTCTAAGCCATTTGGCCACCAAGCAAATTATCAGCATTATAAAATCAATTTAAGACCATTTTTAAGTGTTTAACATCAGCTTATCCTTTCCTACATCAGCATATAAATCAGTTTGTGTTGGAGGTTAAGGACAATCGGTCAATGAATCAGTGGGCCAAGCACTTGAATTAGTGTTGAGGGGCATTTAAAGACCTACAAATAACAGCTCCTGCCCTTGACAACTTATGATCCATTTGGGAAGACAATATGTGTGCAGGGGGGAAAAGAATCATGTAATAAAGTAACATCATATTTGCAACTTGTCAGATTAATAGAACAGAAAATAAATGTTTTATTTTACCCAGAGTATCAATAAATTTGGGCTTTGCTAAAGTGAAACAGGGGCCAAATATATCCTGTGTACAACTCAGATTTTGAGACCCTGATAGGAGGATCACAGCACTTTGGAGATTATAAAGTGTTATTTAGCATAGATAATCTATAAGGAACTCACTCGAACCATAGGAGGAACTAAAAACAATTATTCTTTTTCTTTTTTTTTTTTTTTAACATTAGGTCATGGAACTAAAGGAGTATTTGAGCTTCTGTCTGGATGGCGGAGAACCAAAGAGAATTTGCCCTTCAAAGACAGGATAGCAGATGCCTATTCTGATGTGATGGTCACCTACACCATGACCAGCTCCCTGTACTTTATCACCTTTGGCATGGGTGCCAGCCCATTCACAAACATAGAGGCCGTGAAGGTCTTCTGTCAAAACATGTGTGTCTCCATTCTGTTGAACTACTTCTACATTTTCTCCTTCTTCGGCTCCTGTCTCGTCTTTGCTGGCCAGCTAGAGCAAAACCGCTACCACAGCATCTTTTGCTGCAAGATCCCTTCTGCAGAGTACCTGGATCGCAAGCCCGTGTGGTTCCAGACAGTCATGAGCGATGGGCATCAACAGACATCGCACCACGAGACGAACCCCTACCAGCACCACTTCATTCAGCACTTCCTCCGAGAACATTACAATGAGTGGATTACCAATATCTACGTGAAGCCATTTGTTGTCATCCTGTATCTCATCTACGCCTCCTTCTCCTTCATGGGGTGCTTACAGATCAGTGACAGAGCCAACATCATCAACCTACTAGCCAGTGATTCGCCAAGCGTTTCCTTCGCCATGGTTCAGCAAAAATATTTCAGCAACTACAGCCCCGTGATAGGATTCTACGTCTATGAGCCCCTGGAGTACTGGAACACCAGCGTCCAGGAGGACTTGCGAAAGCTCTGTGGTGGCTTCACTGCAGTGTCCTGGGTGGAGCAGTACTACCAGTTCCTGAAAGTCAGCAACATCAGTGCCAATAACAAGAGTGACTTCATCAGTGTCCTACAGAGCTCATTTTTAAAAAAGCCAGAATTCCAGCACTTTCGAAACGATATCATCTTCTCCAAGGCGGGAGATGAAAACAACATCATTGCTTCTCGCTTGTACCTGGTGGCCAGGACTAGCAGAGACAAGCAGAAGGAAGTCATAGAAGTGTTAGAAAAGTTGAGGCCCCTATCCCTCTCGAAGAGCATCCGATTCATCGTGTTCAACCCCTCCTTTGTTTTCATGGACCATTACAGCCTGTCTGTTACAGTGCCTGTGCTGATTGCAGGCTTTGGTGTTCTCCTGGTGTTAATCCTGACTTTTTTCCTAGTGATCCACCCTCTGGGAAACTTCTGGCTAATTCTTAGCGTCACCTCAATTGAGCTGGGCGTTCTGGGCTTAATGACATTATGGAACGTCGACATGGATTGCATTTCTATCTTGTGCCTTATCTACACCTTGAATTTCGCCATTGACCACTGTGCACCACTGCTTTACACGTTTGTATTAGCAACTGAGCACACCCGAACACAATGTATAAAAAGCTCCCTGCAAGAGCACGGGACAGCCATTTTGCAAAACGTTACTTCTTTTCTTATCGGGTTGGTCCCCCTTCTATTTGTGCCTTCGAACCTGACCTTCACACTGTTCAAATGCTTGCTGCTCACTGGGGGTTGCACACTTCTGCACTGTTTTGTTATTTTACCTGTGTTCCTAACCTTTTTCCCCCCTTCCAAAAAGCACCACAAGAAAAAGAAACGGGCCAAACGAAAGGAGAGAGAGGAGATTGAATGCATAGAAATTCAAGAGAACCCTGATCACGTCACCACAGTCTGAGGGGTGCAGACTTAACGGATTATTTTTCTTTTCCAGTATCGCACAACGATGCAGGGCGAGGAAAGCTCAGACCTCAGCTGCTTGGGCTGGCCAGGGGTAACAAGGCAAGTCAGATCAAGAGTGCATTATTCATGACACATCGAAGTGTCTGCTTCTTTGGGGTAAGAGGGAATAAGAAAAGGGGGGAAAGTTCTTTGCGACCTTGTTCTCTACTAAAGATAATTTTCTGGATGTGATCTTAGAGTTCTTCCAAGGAATGGACAAATCAATGAAGTGTTCAGATAGAAGGCCAGAAGAAGCAACTGCTTTTGAAAAGAAAATGCTTAGGAGAGATGGAGAAGAGAGAAAAGGTGTCCTCCAAGTAGGGGGAAAGACATAGGAAATGTCAAAATTGCCATGGCACTTTTCATGTTTGTTTTTTGAACAGCTTGGTCAAAGGAAACCTATGCACACGGGAAGTATATATTTAATCCTGTCTAAACCAAAGGACTTCCCAATCCATTTTATGTGTACATACATATGTATATATGTGATATATACATATACTTAGACCTGTCTTTAGTATACATTGACATTTGTGTGGAGGGAGATGTCCATTTGCAGATCGGCTAGCTTTTCTCTAGAAAGCCAAATCAACCTTAGCCAAATATATAGTCTCATTGATAGCCATTCAAAATCAACTCAAGAGTCTCAGCAGTAAGCATATTATTCAATTGTGGAATAAGCAAAATAAACTGAGATGTGAGTCCATTAGGTTGTACATATTAAGTTGTCAGTCATTGAGACTCTTGCTTTGGATGATGTAGCAAAAAAAAAAAATGCATTTAAGTTAATTACCACATGGATAAGGTTTTAAATTTTATGTTAGAAATAAATAGCTCATATGGCTTTCATTGGGTTTTAATAATCCTCTGTATTTGGGAGGCTGATATGGCTGCTTTCAGAGAGCTCACCCAACTGCAAATGAGCACTTGACATATATTGTCCATCCATATCTGTGTAAGGGTGCACAAGTGTGTATGTGTGAGTTGGTGTATTCCATAGTTGTACTGTTCTTATTTTAGATGGTGAAAATATACTGCCATGGAAAATAGGCAATTAACACAGGAGAAAGGCAACCTAACTAGGAAACTTGTATGGTACGATAGAGTAAGATGGACCATCGCAACTCATCGTGCGCCATCAACTGGTTCTTATCGTAAGGAAAATATTCTAATCCTATAAACTCTAGTGTGTTCCTTGCATTAATATTTGGAACATTAACCCAGGCCATGACCACTACAGTAGTGGTCACTGTAACTACTGCAATATCATTCTGTAGCTTCTTGCAATATCATTGTTCTTGTTACCTAGAAAGTGCTCCTGAGTTGGTCCACCTCCTAAGGTGATCCTAGCTCTCCGCAGGTGATATATTAACTGTAATTGCTGCTGAACTCTTTCTCAAAAAAAGTACTGAGGTTAATGTTTTCGTTGAGTTAAACTTTAAAACTGTTCCCCAGCAGATAGAATCAGTCTGTTGTGGGTGCTTACTTGGATTAACGTTGTGCTTCCTGCCACAGAAAATTACTAGAAAATGTCTTTTCCCATGCCAAGCAGTAACATAATTTATTTCCAGGTAGGACAGAACAAATGTCCAAAGATCTGCCATGCTGACAAGCTCTTTTACCAGGAAGAAAGCTGTTATTTCCCATCAATTTGGGTTGTATGTTTTAATCAAATTAATAATACTCATATCTAAAAAAACCACAACATTTCTGGACTCAATTAAGCTCAGTAGATACAAACCATTCCATTCTGGTTACAGTCTTTAGAAACAAAGTTGGTAGATTAATGAAGTGACAAAACAAGTGTACTTTTACAAATAAAGACTTTACTAGAATATGAAAAGGAAGGGGAACAGACTCTAAGATGAAAAGCATTTAAGTAAAATTTTATTTATTGAATGGAGTTTGTTTTGTCCTGCCTTGAGGTCACTGAGTTTCTAGTCAAAATGATCCATGTCTTCTCTATGGTGTCCATTTGGGCACAAAAATCTATAGATCTGAGTATGGGAAATAACTGTCCATAGCCATAGGATTATTGTTTTTACATGATTTGTAAAGTCATGTCACAGATAACGCTAGCCTTTTGCCTCGTGGACCGCTGTGCTACGATGAACCAGTATTTGAGGTTAATAGACCTCCAGACCATGATCTCATATCTGAAGTTGAAGTTTCTGAGATTTTTGGTTTGGGTTTTGATTTAGGTTTTGGTGTTTGTGGGGGGGCATGGAAAGGAAGATTCCTCTATTACAGATTACCTATAATTTGTGAAGATTTTTTTTAACCTCCCTTTCAAAAGAAGGGAGGTAATCAACTTAGAAATTTCAGAAACTATCACCTCATTTCTTCCCATGGTGTGCCATACTCCATTCATTCACCTGTTTCTTCAAAAGCTTGCCTATTTGGGTCAGTTTTTCCTGAGTTAAGGTAGACCATTCCACATGCAAAGAAGATCTCAGCAGATTGATTTATAAAGAAAGAATCAAGCACACCAATTGTCAAATGCATGTGGGGATAATGGCATATACTGCCAAGCTACCATGGCAGTGCTAGTATCATGTCTCCATTGAAATAATCTCCATTCGGATGAGGAAAAACAGTTCTTTTTTTTTGCTTATATCACCAAGGACTAAAGTGTCTAAGATAAATAAATATGAATTTCTCATTGTTTAAGTGGCTCCAGGGCATTTTGGAAAGAACATTATGTTTTCCAGGACACCACGGTACTCTTTAGTGAACTGTAGCAATAATTTACTGAAATGGAATTCCTTGTTCTGGAAGAGTTAATGTAGCAGCCAAAATGCCTTAACTCAGTCCTAGAAGGTAGTTTAAGCCCAAGAAGGATTTGAGCATCATCTGACCTCTCAACCTCACTGTGAAACAGATATTTCCAAGAATTCCATTTACTGAATGCCTAGATAAGTCCAAAAATATGAGATCATGATTTGCAGGTAACCACCAACAATCTCAGCCTTTTTCAGTAGCTTGTGTTCACTTCTCCCTTGTCTTTCAAGTTTACTCTCATTGTTTTGTCTCTGTGAAGTACTGATGGTGGTCAAATTAGGAATTTATTTATTGTCAGCAGATGACCAATCAACTCCTAGAAGAGAAGAAATCTGTGGGATATATATGAGATTTTTGGAATATTCTATTTAATTGAAACGTGTTTTTCCCTTAAAGTGAGAGATTTTAAAGTTTGCAAAACCACCCCCTTTTCTGCATTTAAAGTGAAGGGCGGATATGTTTCCCTCCATCAGAATTTAAATTTGAGTTAGAAAGCGCCGTGTAAGCTCCACTCTTAATGATGCTAACAAAGCTTCGAAGAGATACTCACCTAAATCACAGGAAAAGATTTGGCTAAAGGTTAGATTCTTAACCTCTGTGGTTAAAGGTAACCATACACTAACTTAGACGATGCTTAACTCTTTTTAATGGAAGTTGTGTTTAGATGTCATGCCATGCATTTTTGCAGTGACCATGAACCTCTCTGAAGGTCGTGCATGAATATTCCATGAAAGAACTATCCTTCTCTGTGGTTGTGTCATGTGAGTGTCTCTTGTCCATTACATTCCCATTTATTTCCACAGAATTTAGATTTTACCTTGCGAGGTAAGAGGAATAATGTTGACAAGTGAAGCTTTTGTGATGCTGTCATAGTTATTCTTAAATGTTGAAGTCCAGAGTGTGAGAATTTTGTCCATTTTGTAATTATCTATTGCACTTTCTCATAATAAGCTAATCCTTCTAGGCTTGTGGTTAGAGCTAGGGATTAACTATTGCCATTCAGAATTACATGTATTTTTATAAGTTGACTGTAAATATTATAATTACAGTCACATATTTTTATGACCAAATAGTTATGAGTGCATGGCACTATGCATGCATTGTTACTAATAGTACATAGATTATTAAAGACACTATTTTCAGGGTTATTGCACCTTTTATTAAAATTCTTATATCACCTATTCATAAATGCTTCATGGGTTTTCATCCCAAGGGCCAAAAGTTCATAGAAAGTCCCATCCCAAGAAAAGCAATTTAAAAGTTGTCTTACTTGGCTGTCAGTAGCAGCCACCTCTTCTAGAATGTCCTCTGGAAAATCTCAGAAACTAAATCTGGCTTCCAGGTAAAGGGCCTACCATATTCTGCATTAGTAAGTAAATAAACATACTTTTATGTCTTGTGTTTGCTAATCTTACGGTGAACCAGAGAACACAATGCCTTGAGACTAGAATTTAGATATTGTCTTTTGGGGATTGGAGGACTCAATGATTTTCTCAGCTTCCTACCAGAGAGATCTCTGTCTGTTCAGTCTATTTTGTTGATGTTTGCAAGTGGTATTGACAATCCTTTCAAATGTGAGCCTGAAAACTATCATTTATTCCAAAAGATCTTTGGAAGCACTTCTATTTCCTTTTAAAAAGTTTTTGTGCTTTTTCTGTGTTCCCCAAAAAAATTTTGTGACAAATTTTATAACATTGACTCAAAATATATCTATGGCTAAATTGGTATGCCCTTGGAATCTCCCCATCTTGAATCTAAATATAAAACTAAGCATCATCACTGTGGTGCAGGCCTTTATACCAACCCTCCTAAGCAATGATCTCCAGATATATTGTGTAGGGGAAAAAATGAGCTAGATTTCTTTTTGACTGCTTTGCCTGCAGAATGACTGCAATGATATTGACCCAAATGAAAGCAGCAAAACCATGGATGAAAGCAACAAAGTCTCGTTGCATGAGGTCCAGCATGGGAGGGATAGTATATGGGTATAGTAGCAATAAATTACTTCGATTTCTCAACTAAAGGACCAAGGTTCATCCACTATCACATTTTACTTAGGAGGGCAAGAGGTGGTGTTGTGTGTTTAAAGTGTTGTGGAACTGAATCGGGAAACATGTGAAATGAGAGTGGAAGGAGGTTGAGAGATGAGCCCATGTCTCAGAAATCAAGATAACCTATCTGTCAGTAGGTGTGATAGGACAAGTGGAACAATACCAGTATTTTGTGGCTTAGAATACAGCACAGAGAATCATTTGGTGCCTCAAAACTATGGATTCTCAAACTGCTAGCAAACTTGACCATATGCAAATGTATCCCACTTGAAGATTGTGTCCTCATTTGTCAGATTCATAACCTGGTCTTTGCAGGGAAAGTCCTCCTGAAAAGCCAAGCACAAAGGAGAGCCATAGACCCTTTTGTAAATGAAAGTGAGAAGCTGGGGAGACTCTTTGAAATGAGCCTTGGAGATAAGCATCCTTCCTTCTCAGGATGGCTCTCAGCATTGCCTGTGAGTCTTTGAGATGTAATGAACACTTTTTGACCAGTTTTCTCTGGGCTTAATGAGGACCCCTCTGTTGCCGATAGAGAAGTCAACTTACTTTTCTTATGAAATGGAAAACAAAGAGAGCAATACGTAGGATCAAGTATATATTTATAATAGAGATAGCTAGTCTACAGAACATACCTTATCTCTTCCACATCTCTAAAGTGTTGTCAAAATTAAATGGGCTTACACCTTAAACTGAAAACCTCTTGTAAGGTAGATATTTTTAATACAATAAAGTATTTATAAATAAAATCATTACTAATTTTGCACACTTTTATAAATTATAGAAAGCCAGTCCCTACTAGTTTTTCCAGTTGAAGTTTTCCCTAAGAAAGCTCTCTCAGGTCATGCTAATTATGAAGTCACAAAAATAAGAAGGAAATTTCAGGAACCATCCACTGATTACGGACACTTCCTGCTCTATAGCGTGTGTTTGGACTTACCTGAACTGGGATTTTTTGAAGTCATTTCTAACTGTGTTCTGTTGTCCCAAACGGCTAATGGCATGGCCTGATAGAGAAACCTTATGGTTTCCTTCCTCTCTTTTTCCACGGTTACTAGAGCAATCACATTGCCCACGTGGCTCTGTCAAACCAGAATTTTAATGCTTTGGAAGATTTCATTGAAGAATTTCCTAGGAATAACTAGGACTGTCTGCCATGGGTGACAGATGAGTGGGGTTTATTATAAAATGTATAACTTTGCAGTCCTGAATAAATTTAAGTTGGATTCTTGGTAGAGGCAGTCTACCGTCTACCCCAGTATGTTGTGGCAGGTATTTAAGTCATCTAATGTAAGACGGCCAGTAGGATCTCTCCCTAGAAACTGAATACCTTCCATAATTATATTTGATGGATTCACTGTTTGTTGCTTGGGACATTGACAGAGCTGGAGGCAAAAACAGACAGTCGTTATTCTTGTATCTCCTGGTGCAGTCTGCAGCATCTGTTTTGAAGTAGAATCCGGAAATTCTGGCATCTTTTCTTCTCAAACATAAAAGTGCTAGGTACTGATAAAGTTTAGACTTTAAACTCACCAATGCAAATATCCCAAAGTTTGTCAGAGTTGAAGCAACAATTTTATTATACTTTCCTGTTAATTATGCACATTTTTCAGCAATAGACTTTTTTGCTCTTCAATAGGAAATCTGTCACAGTTTGAAAAGGGCAGAGATCTCTCGAGCTACCTCATAAAGGTATTAAAAGACAAAATGGCAACCTCTGAATAAATTGCAATATATTAAAGGCACAAAGCAATATGATCAACTCTCCTTGATGCTCTTTCATTTTGTAAAATTAGACTGGGCTAAATGTACAATGAACACCCCAATAGCAGTCCCACTTGTACATTCTGGTTAACATAATGTCATTAATATGAAATCTCTCAGGGCAGTTGTTTAGTTGTCTCCCTACAGACATCCCAGAGCACAAAAACTGGCTCAGAAAGAGAATAGCCTGATATTGATTTGAGGCAGTGGTCTACCTAGTAAAATGCACAAATAATCTGTGAGTAACTTCAAAAAAAAAAAAATCCCAAGGGGTGCATTCCTTATCAGTGGAGGAGAATAATCAGCTTGTTTTGTTTGTCCTAGGCAAATAAAAAAAGACAATGTTGCCAGCATTTGACATTTAACTTGTTTTCTTTTCCACTGGAAGTATTTGCTATTATTTTTCACTAAATTAGGGCTCTAAAACACAGGTCACTTGTGGAAACATTAGAATCAGTGGAAAGAAAACTACTGGAAAGAAACATTCTTCACCCACACATATACAAATTATAGGAATGAGAGTAAAATTTGAGCATTTTTATTTCCTGTGCTTTCCTAAAACAAAAACCCACTGTTATCAATTCTGGCTAGATACAATGTTAATTCCTGTAACAAAATAAAGAAGAATGATAAAATGTATGAAATTATGAGACTTCAATGTCTTAACAAAACAAACCTCATGGCAAACCACAATTTCCAGATGTCTTTCCCCATAAGAAAATTCTTTTCATAACGCTTTATTATATGTAGGTTCTTACTACATCCCGTTCATGAAAATGGCCTCATTTATCACTCCCAAAATAGTACAGATAAACTAATAAGCCATTTAAAGCTCTCTGCTCTATAATTCTGTACCTTAGGTCATACAACTCAAACTACCTTATCGAGGAGAGCTTAAAAAAGAATTTTGAACAAAAACATCATTATCACAAACATATTACCTAAATGGTATTCCCATCCAAAAATATCTCCTCTAAAATATGGGACTGCTTGAGTGTTCATTTTAGACCTTACTAAGAGGGAAATATTCTAAAAGTATCCATTTCAAATCTTACTAAAAAGGAAAAGAGAAAATCCTTCCAAAGTTTCCAAATTGCTTCAAGTTGGTCCATTATCAAAATTTATATCCATCTTGATAAGTGAAAAAATGTGTAAACCAGGTTTTTTAAACTATAATGAAAAATAACTAAATAACAAGTTATTTCCCATAGATTTGCATATGCAAACATACATTTAATAATTAAATAAATCTCATACCTCAATCAAGAGAAATTATATTCCAAATATTTCTTTGTTTATTTTATTATTTTTATATTTTGGACATACTGAGATATAATAATTTTAAATTTCTCAGAATTGTTCTGCTTAAGAAATCTATGTTGTAAAGCCTAAAGGTAAAAATCTTATGAAAAATAACAAGTCTTAGCTACTTGGAAAAAATGTCATCACAGTTATATTTACTACAGTTCTACCAGACAAAGTTATTTACAGCATTTCTGGCTGCCTTGACCTTTCATTTTAACAACAACAACAAATCTAGTTCCATTAGTCATAAGAAGGAAAATACAGTATATTAAAATAGTAGTAAATTTTACATTCATTTATTCTGTAGTTCCTAGGGTCAAATGACTTTACCAGGTCTTGCTTGATCACAATCCCAAATGCTGAAGAAGCTAGTTTATTCTTAGACTCATCCTATCCCCCTTCATTTCTTACTGTTAATATTACATGCCTCACAGAATATCACATACACAATTTATTCATCTAACTTTAGTGAGGACTTTGAACTTCCTATCTTTTAGGAGTCTTTTTAGAGAAAGATTTTTTTTTCTGTTATAGCTAGAGAATTAATCTTCCTTAACATAACATCTCATAATATCACAATGTAACATAACATAATCTATACTTTTTAGTCTTTTATCAAATCATAATTCCTAAAACTTATAAGGTAAATTTTTATCCCTTAAACATTCAAGAATACATACCTTAAAAATAGTATAATGATAATATATCAATTATCCCTCCATGGTTAAGATAAAGCACTCTGAAGCAAGTACAAAATGCCTTGGCATTTCTGAGAAATCTTTTTTATGAGTCCCTAAGTTCATAAGTATCTTGACAATGTATAAATTACTAAAGTATTACTAAAATATTTAGGTGGCACTTTAAGAACTCCAAGAATTATATTAACTTCAAATCTAAAGCAATTTATAATAGACTCAAATAAATTCTACCTAAAATTTCTCACAACATTACATTGCATTACCATAGTAATTTTAACTATAAAAATTCTTGAACCAACCTTTTTATTGCCATACGAGTGCTACAAAATATGGAGACAAAAATAAATAAGGCAGCTGTTCCTGAGTAGTACATGGGGATTACTTACAAAACCTGTCACTTTAGCTGCACCCTATACAGTTCCAAGTCTGGGCAAAATTATTCATGAGCTCTTAACATCACTTCTTTTTTTAATTTTTTTAATTTTTAATTATTACGGGTACAGAACAGTTGTATGTATTTACAGGACACATGTGATGTTTTGATACAGGCATATAATAGATAACAATCAAATCAGGGTAATTGGGGTATCCATCACCTCAAGCATTTATCATTTCTTTGTGTTAGGAACATTTCAATTCCACTCGTTTAATTATTTTAAAGTATGGCATAACTCATTCTTGACTGTAGTCAGCAAAATTTCTAAATCACGAAAACCATTATTAAATATTTAAATACCCAAGTCCACTATATTCTGATGAATCATGTGGTGACATTATAAGGAACATATAGACACCCAACATTCACAGTATTTAAATGTACTTGATTCCAAAATTATACCGAAACAATTTAGTAATCCACAATATACTTTATTATTTTTTTTCCATGCCCACTCAGCAAAGAATAGTAATCCACAATATACTTTAGAAGCTTTGTCATTGCATAGCTATTTTCATTATTGACATCATGTGCATGACTAAAGGTCTGTCTAATAATGTTTCATTTTGTTAGAGTTTTCCATAAACTTTTTTTAAAAACAAAGATGCCCTTGTTTCTTTTATGGAAATGCTTGAATTTATTCAGTAGTCATTTTCCTGTCCAAATTCAATATTTTAATTATTTCACTGTATTCCTTTGTTTAAATATGTTCAATTTTTATTATTTCTAAAATCACTTTAGCTTAGAGTAATTAAAACATGTTTTTCCTTTAGGTAAGAATAAGTATGGCTAAAAAAGGGTGAAATAAGAACTTAGTAAAATTAAGCTGAGCACGTGAACATATTTGCCAGCATGGAATAAAGTTTGGGAAAAGTACAACTGATTATTATTTATATATGCATCAGTCTGAAATTCTCTACTGATTTTAATAATGGCAGCTGACACGGCACAGCGCACAACCTTTCCTTGGCAGACACTTGATAATTACCTATTCAATGAAGAAATAAATAGAAGAATCCTTGAGCTTCTGACTTGTCATCCTATGACCTAATGAAAAGGAGGGATTTAACAATCTCAATCTCTGAGAGCCCATATTTGTTTGTTTGTTTTTTAAGTCCCTGCCTCATATTACCTAAAGAAAGTATAAGCCATTGCGCTTTCAAAAATTCAAAATGTTACTCCTGTGCCCGCTTTTTTTCTAATTTCCTATTAGAAATGAGTGGATCATGTTCCATATGTGAAAGATCAAATCCCTGGCTTGTGCTATAGGCTATGGGTCCCCTTTCCTCTAGCCTTCAGAAGTCAGTGTGAGAGCCCATATTTGGATGCTTATTTTGTTTTATTTTCTGGAATTTTCCTAGAGAGCCAGTTACACAGGAATAAGTCCCCATGTAAAGGAAAAATTTCATAACTGTCTTTTCCAATAAGTTGAAATGTGAAAGCCTAGAGCTATACACATCTTGATAGTGAAATAAAAGGGAATGTGATTTGACACAAAGAAAAATATCAAAAGACAGGGGTGATTTAAAAAAAAAAGAGGTCTATAAGAAAAAGTTAAAAAACAAATGCAGAACTTATTAAAGAGAACTAAACAACTGAACTAAAAATTTTGAGGAGAGGTTGTGATTTGGGGAAGGCAGTTGTTTTACCTTTTTAGAATTTCGGAGTATTACGGGGCTACAAATGTTTTGGTTACATGGGTTGCAATTGTACTGCTTGGGTCAAAGTTATAAGTGTGTCCATCACCCAGATAGTGTACATTGTACCTGTTGGGTATGATTTCACCCATCCCCTCCTACCTGCTCCCACCTACTTGATTTCCGTTGAGTTTTACTTCCATCTGTGCATATAAATGCTGATCGGTTAGTATCAATTTAATAGTGAGAACATGTGGTGTTTGTTTTTCCATTCCTGTGACACTTCACTTAGGAAGATGATCTCCAGTTCCATCCAAGTTGTTGCAAAATATATTAATTCATATTTTATGGCTGAGTAGTACTCCATGGTGTACATATATCATATTTTATTAGTCAAGTCATGAATTGATGGACACTTGGGTTGATTCCACATCTTTGTGATTGTGAATTGTGCTGCAATAAACATTGTAATGCAAGTGTCTTTTGGATAAAATGATTTTTCTTCCTTTGGGTAAATACTCAGTAGCAGGATTGCTAGATCAAATGGTAGTTCTACTTTTAGTTCTTTGAGGAATCTGCGTATTATTTTCCATAGAGGTTGCACTAGTTTGCAGTCCCACCAACAGTATATAAGTGTTTCTTTCTCTCCATAGCCACACCAGCATTTATTTATTTGGGACTTTTTGGCCAAAGCCGTTCTCATTGGAGTAAGGTGATATCTCATTGTAGTTTTGATTTGCATTTCTCTGATGATTAGTGACATTGAGCCTTTTTTCATATATGTATTGGTCACTAGTCTATCTTCTTTTGAAAAGCTTCTGTTCATGTCTTTTGCCCACTTTTTAATGGGGTTGTTTGATTATTTTTCTTGCTGATTTGCTTGAGTTCTTTGTAGATTCCGGTTATTATCCCTAATATTTTTCTCCCACTCTGGAGGTTGTTTATTCACTCTGTTGATTGTTTCCTTGGCTGTGCAAGAGCTTTTTAATTTAATAAGGTCCCATTTATTTATTTTTGTTGTTGCTGTGATTGCCCTTGGGGTCTTCTTCTTAAACTCCTTGCCTAAGACAATATCCATAAGAGTTTTTCCAATATTTCCTTCTAGAATTCTTATGCTTTCATGTCTAGGATTTAAGTCTGTTACCCATCTTGAACTAATTTTTGTGAGTGGTGAGAGATTTGGATCCTGTTTCAATCTTCTACATATGGCTGTTCAATTTTCCCAGCACCATTTATGAAATAGAGATTCTTTTCCCCAGTGTATATTCCTGTCTACTTTGTGAAAGATCAGATAGCAATATGTGTATGGTTTCATATCTGGGTTCTCTGTTCTGTTCCATTTGTCTATGTCTCTATTTTTGTGCCAGTGAAATGCTGTTTTGGTTACTATAGCCTTGTAGTATACCCTAAAGACTGGTAAAGTGATGCCTCCACGTTTGTTCCTTTTGCTTAAATTTGCTTTGGCTATCCAGGCTCTTTTATGGTTGCAAATGAAGAGTAGAATTAATTTTCCAAGATTTATGAAAAATGACATTGGTATTTTGATAGGAATTGCATTGAATCTATAAATCATGCTGGGTAGTATGGACAGTTTAACAACGTTGATTCTGCTGATCCATGACCATGATGTGTGTTTCCATTTGTTTACATTGTCTGCAATTTCCTTCCTCAGTGATTTACAGTTCTCTTTGTAGACATCTTTCACTTCCTAGTTTAAATATATTCTTCATTATTTTATTTTCTTTGTAGCTATTGTGAAAGGTATTGAGTCTTTGATTTGATTCTCAGCTTGACTGTTATTGGTATATAGGAATGTTACTACTTTGTGTACATTGATTTTGTAACCTGAGACTTTGCTAAATTTATTTATCATTTCTAGGAGTCTCTCTAGAGCAAATGGGCCTAACAAAACATTCTACCCCAAAACTACTGAATATACATTCTTCTCATCAGCACATGGAATGGTCTCTAAGATTGATCACATCTTAGGCCACAAAACATGTCTCAACAAATTCAAAAAAATGGAAATTATACTGTGTATCTTCTCAAACCATATTAGAATAAAATTAAAAATCAACTCCAACAGAAATACTCAATTCCACACAAAGTCATGGAAATTAAACAACCTACTGCTGAATGAATATTGAGTCAAGGAGGAATTTAAGGTGAAATCAAAAGATTCCTTGAACTAAATGACAAAGTGAACACAAGTTATCAAAATCTGTGGGATTCACCAAAAGCAACCCTAAGGGGAAAATTCATAGTCTTAAATAACTACATCAAAAAGACAGAAATATCACAAATCAAAAATCTAATGCATTATCTCAAAGAACTAGAAAAGGAAGAGCAAAGAAATCTCAAACCCAGCAGAGTAAAAGAAATAACTAAGATCAGAACAGAACTAATTGAAATTGAAAACAAAAAAAAATACAGAATATTAATGAAACAATAAGTTGGTTCTTTGAAAAAGTAAACAAAATTGATAGACTTCTTGCTGGATTAATCCAAAATAGAAAAGGACCCAAATAAGCTCAATCAGAAAAGAAAAAGAAGATATTACAACTGATACCACAGAAATATAAAATATCATCTGTAAATACTATAAAATTTTTTTGGTTTTATTTGGTTTTTTTTGTTAGTTTAGTTTAACTTTTTTAAGATAACCACATTGGAAGGTGTCAGAAAAATCTTGACATACCCTAAGTCTCCAAAAGTTTGTTACTCTTTAGAAAAATGGAACCAGAAATTCAGTTCTATTTTGCAATTAAGATTTGCTGTGGATGGGTTTCTAAAGTACCCCTAGATTGCTTGGGATTGTATTCATTTACTCAGAAATATTTAGGAATAAATATTGGTTTCTTTGATAGACTCAGAAAAAATTACCACTGAACTATTTGTAGTTCCTAACCTTGAGGCATGTATGATCTATTGAGTAAATTTCCAGCTGATACTTCCTGTTTATCAGGTCATATAAAATAAATAAATACATACATACATAAAATTTCTGGCTAAGGTATTCAAGGGAAGCAAGTTAAAAATCATGAATTGATTCACATCGAAGCTTGGATGAGATTCTAATAGAGGTAGAGGATGAACACAGCAGTCTGGGAGAAAAATGAATTTGCAAGGGCATGCAGACAGGAAAGCCAGCTGTCCAGGATGAAGGCTATAGCAGATGAGGTAATGGGAACCCAGAGGAGAATGGATACAGGTGGAAAAGAAAAGGAAGGGTCTATTGCAAGTGGTATTATAAAGAATCACCAGGACATGGGGAGCTGTTTGGAGTTGGGAGGGGGATCATGAAGAAATAGATCCTTTTGAGATATATTCTTAGGCTTGAATGCAGTGACAGGTTTATAAAACATAAACACCACAGTCCCCATTTTTGTATTTTATCTGTTAACATCAAGGATCTACAAACTCAGCAATGTCACGTAAATTTATTATCCGTATTGCCTAGAAGTATGGTGGTTGCAAAGGCCAGTTTAGGAAGTGAATTTGATTGTTTGATAGTGGAACACTGCCCATGTTCTGGCACAGAAGCTCATGGACATCTGGGCCTCTAATATACACCTGGTATCCTTCAACGTGGGAGACTGGGAAACTGACATGGATTGATTGGAACCCAAACTTTCCAGGAAAAACAAACTAATACACTCCAATTATTTATGTCTTTTAATATCATTATTTTTACAGACAATTCAGATAATATCTGTTTAACAAGTTAGGTATTATTATCCTTGCTTTATACATTCTTTATAAGAAACATTGTAAACAAGTACTGTGTCCCTATAGTACATCATCCTTTCATCATAAGTCAGTGTGAAAGGTGCATGTACAGAGAAGACCAAATGTAAAATTGTATGTGATCAAAAATAACTGCATAGATTTTTCTCCCCCCATACTGTCCTTTTCTAAGATAATGCAATGGCTAAAATGTTTAAAACTATTTTTAATTCACTTCCATATGATTCGCTTTTAATTTCTTTGAAGATCAGAGTAAGATATACATGTATATAGTTTTTAAACATAAAACTAACTCATTTTATTTACTAACTTGCCCTTTTTTGTAATTAGAGTCAATTATAATAATTGGTACTCCCCAAAACCAACAATCAGGATTACAAAGAAGATTGGGGGAATATATTTTAATATTTAAAAATGAAATAAGCATTCCCTAATGATGTTACTTAGAGTTATAGATAAGGTTGAAGTTGGTCTTGGGAGGCCCAATTTTGTAGCCAGTTCAAGAAGAGTTCATCTGTTCATAGAGTTGGGATAGAGATAAATTTACCAACCAAGTGGCCATAGGAGACCATGGCCAACAAACACACTCCAAGAGACATTTTGGATAATCCCAGGATTATCAGAGTTAGTGGTCCTCAAACTTTGCTGTACATCATAATGAGCTGGACAGATTTTTTTTTTAAGTCCAATGCCCAGACTGCATACCAGACCAATTAAATCAGCACCTCCCACAGAGGGACCCAGGCCTCAGTGTTGGACCAAACCTCCAATGTGCAGCTAAATGTAAAAGCCAGTGTGTTAGACTACCAAGTCAACAAATTTAACCCAATAAATACTGATAGAACCCTTATGATATGGTGAGTGAAGATGAAAAAGGCACAAAACAAAAGCATCTATGGCATCTATAACTAGAATACAAGCCAGACCTTGCAAAGGATTCCAAAGGGTATTCCCAGAGAATAAAGAGATCATTTCTTCAAAACTGAAGATAATGATGCTTTGAAATAGAGTTGTGGCACTGAAGATAAAAAAGGAAGAAATGCATATGATTAATACTGTGGCACAAAAATCTATATCTGTAACATAGCCGAAACAGCCAAGAACTTTTGAATATCCAAAGCACCTACAATTGAATATTCAAATTAATATATATACTAATTCAAATTAGTATATGGTACCCTATAATTGAATATTCAAATTAGTGGAGTTGATAGGATACTATAGTGACCAGTCATTCACTCTTTGCATGATCTATAATACCCTAGTTCATACTTTAATAATCATATTTCTGTGGTTTTGGCATGCAAAGTGGCCCGTTTTTATTTACAGAGCTGTTATTGTCACAAAATATC